TTTGACCGACCTTGTAACCACCAAAAAAATTGAAATAAACCTAAATTAACCATCTTTTCTTTCTAGTATGACTTCAGATTGTAACCTAAAACTACATTTGTTTATCCTAAGTAGCTCTAAGTTTGTAACATTATACATCTATTTATAATTAAATTTTATTATTTTATTGCTCTTTGAACCGTGTCTAACTGCTATCCGCACCATTATAAGTTGTAAATCACTCGGGAAAGTGCAGCTCACGTTACGCTATCAAATTACATTACCGACGAGCTGCTTGCGTGCGTGCTCCGTGAACAATTTTAATTATATTATTATTATTACTTATTTTACCTATTCTAGTCTTAAATAACTTAAAAAGAATCGTATGTTTAATTTTAGTTACTTTTATAATAATAAATAAAGAATAAGTATGAAAAACAAGAAAGTACTTACCCAATCTTCTTTTTTCTTGCCCTCGATTGTCAAGTAGAGTTAAGCCTGATTTGTTTTAGTGATTATGGTAAAGCACTAAACAATTTTTATTGACTTAAATAATACACCAAAGAATGTAGCCTAATAACATGCAAAGAGTAGACAAATTCACTTTTAAAAATTTTCCTGGCTTTCTAACTATGAGACAAGAGCCATTACAAATTCATCCAAGCTAGTCATTAACTTTCCCATGGGAACCAAATTACTACTCTGAGTGACAATGACGGTTATCTGTTCAGAACACAATGTTATAGAATACACCATTTGATAGATGAAAACCTTGATTTTCTATTGGTTATAAATAATATATAATGAAATGTAAGAGAGAACTATCAACCAATTGTGAAAGAGATGATGTGGCAGGAGGGGTCTGATTTTCTTTTTGATAGCTCTGTAACAAAACAAAATTGAAGGCCATAGAATTGTGGTCTGTTTGAGCAATAATGATTTTATAGAGAGCATTTTACGTTTAATTTCGTACATTTTTGAGGGGTTATGGGTAAAATATGGATGATGACATGCTAAGACAAAATTTGTCATGTGTGTTTCATTAGTGGAAATTCGGGATTTTTTTATATATTTCCTTTCAGAATTAAGAACTTTGAAACTTGTATACTATTAAGATATGAATTATTGGCTAAGATTTTATGCTATTCTAATTGGTATAACATAAACAAAAACTAGTTTAATAAAATTTTGAATGTGAGACACTAAAGCCTTGTGTCATGCGCAGAGTACCCATGCTGATAGGGTTAAACCAAGAATAGATGTTATAATTCTGAGACAAATACTCACCTCACACAGAATAGCTATCTTCCTCAGCTCTTCTGCACATTCTGCTAAAAAGACTTGCAAACCACCAGCCTTGTGAAAACTCCCACTTAATCTTGCATGAAACCATATGAACTTGTGTAACTGCAAGATGATGTAATCACATGGCAGAACTCTTCATCAATAGGAGTGTGGCATATCTTCTATGCATTATTACTTCCCTTACAATTCATGCTTGTGAATCCTCCTCCTTCTCCTTAGCATTGTATTGACCAGACATGTTTAGATTTCTCATCTGTTCAAGTTAATGAGATTAGCATCATTAATGGAACTTTGATATTCTGTTTCTTTAGTCTTTGTTTCAAAAGCTTTAATATTTTATCATGACTTATCGAATGACTGATTTATACTTATTCCTGAGTGTGGGACATTGTTCACACTTGCGCCTTATTTCTGCTGTGGGTTTTGAGGCCTGTTAACTGTAAGGGTTGTAGCAGCTGTTGTTCAACATGTTGTAGATTACCACAATGTCATTGTCTGAATTTCTCCCCAATTGGGAATGACCTATTAAACTATGTTTTTCACCTCCTTTATTTTAGGTAATACTCTACCATTTGTTAAATGACCCTAACATTTCCATGTTTTACTGGATTTCATTCCCAGGTCTGTTCCTTTTCTTCTCTTTTGCTTGTGTTCTTTCTTTATTTTTTTTTCCTTTTCTCATTTTATGATGCATGTTATTGAGTTTATCTTTTTTCTCTTTGCTTGTTCTTAGGACTTATACTGTTTC